ATTTAGTAAGTATTGTGGGCTGAACTTCTGATAACAAGTTTTCGAATCACAGTCCTTAATCATATGCCAGATAGTTATTTTCCTCCATAATCAGTGAGCCTACGAGGATTCTCATCAGCAAATCCCTTAATCACATTTTCCCTTCTATGGGACTTAACGTTTTTATTTTTTTCAGCGTCATGCATCGTTTATGATGGAATGTCATGTTATATCTTAAAGATTCTTCGTTTAATTGTATACACTTCATTGCTATTTCGGACATCACATCGGTACCTCCTTTATATGAAGGTAACAATTACATTATCACATTCAAGGAACAATAACACTAAACTGTAAGCAGCGTCAGCCTGAGCTACAAATCTCTTACTGAATTATGTAAAAGACAGTTAGAAATCATGACTTCAGTAAAAATATAAATTCAACTTAATTTAAAATCTGTTGTAATTTAGTCCTATAAGATTTAATTTTTACATCGGTTTATGTTCTAAGAATTCGCACTTTCCTACTCATGAAGAACTTTCAGAGCGGTCGAACAAAGGTTAGATCAAAACTGTATACAGCCCAAGACTTGCTCTTTTTATTCAAACAGATCATCCTGCTAACAACAAAGTCAATCGTTTTCAATTGTTTCTTGTGTTAGTAATTGACTATCAACATTTTTTTAGACTCAATTGTCTTAAAATGGTAAAAGAAATAGCTAATCTCATTGAAAAACTGGAGCTCAACCTACAAAAGAAATAAGTTTATCCGTTTCTTCTTTGTCCAACCTTAGGCTAGATAAAGTGATATTCATCTTCCAGGTTTTACAGCTAGAGCTTAACCTTCAGATCACTCATTCACTTGTCATTAGTTTAAATTTCTGTCTTCGATCAATTTGTGAGCAGCTGCCTCACACTGGATAGTTTCAGTGACTGTTTAAGATCATTCAACAACGTACTTACTTACTTACGCCTGTTACTCTCAATGAAACATAGGCCGCCGACCATTCAGCGACGTAAACAATACAATTTAACAACCTCTAGAACTTCATATACTAATTATTCTTATTCATTTCTATATATTTTTGTATTGTTATTAATTTTGCGCACTGCTGAGGAGTCCCATAATAGGACGAAACGGCCGTCCAGTGCTTCCAGGTTTTCCATGGTGGCCTAGCTTCAATTGACTCATGATTTCAACTTTGAAAAATTTTGTAAATATATAAATATATATATATTGAATTGGATTCACCTCATTTTACTACCACTTTACATATTACGTAATCTTCGACCAAACATTTATCCTGATTAGCAATCAAGTCATTACATGTTTCACCTTAAATCACCAAAATTTACTCTGATTATTCATCTCCCAATTTAAGCTGACGTATAAACTTATTATCAGAATGGGGGGTTGTGAAGATTTTAGTAATTTTAATAGTTGAATTTATTAGTTGATCTTAGCTAGACCATAAGATCAAAGGTTCTGGGTTCGAGCCCGACATGCAGGATTGTGAATGCACACTGTTGAAGAGTCCCATACCAGGACTTCCAGATTTTATATTATTCTACTGGTATACTCCTTGCATACGAGAGGGGTAATGAAAGACTCAGAGGCTCGATGGATTACATGTTGGATATTTAAAACAACAGCTACTAGGTTCGATGTCCTGTAAGAACATCAACAATGAGATGTAGGTTCATTCAGCTGATGAATCACAAATAGAATAAAGTATTTGTTCGTAATACCACTGTTAGCACAATTCATTTCTTCCATAAAAATCTAATGATAACTAGGGAAAGCCGATTTTATCAAAAAATAAAATCAATTAGAAGGATTCATTGAAATCCAAGTTCTATATCATTTTTGTATTTATTGTTTGAATCCTCCCATTGACGTTTAGGACTGAAATCGATAAGTCTCTTATCGACATATATGAATCCTATGCGGATTACCTCGATATTGCCATAAGTCACGAGTATTATAAGCAGAGACAGACGGTGGGTAGCGATGGAATCCAAGACAAGCGTTCCATCCTATTTAGGACTCGTTAGCTGGATTTACCTGGACCACAGATTTGATCTTCACTTATAGACTCGAACATAGTGCCGTTCGCTTCAAATGTCATCACGTCCAGATAGCCACTAGCTTGTGCAATGGTGTGACGATTCAAACAACCAATACAACTTAATGATCATGTGATCTTCACTCACCCAATTCTTCATCAAACAGATCTATATTATATCTTTAACTTAAATCAATGGGAGATTTTCTAAGAGATTAATCCTTAAAATGTCACACAACGAGATACCTACGTCTATAACCACGGTTCTAACGAAGATAAATAAACGTCGGAAAATTATACAGTCAAAACGAACACCATCTGATAAAAACTAGGGCGATACTTTACCAAAAGCTACAATTCGAATAATAGTTTTCAAATAAAGAGAAAACCACAAATTGATATAATTCTTTGATACATACTTTGATTATGAATACTATTCCAAGACTAAGAATACAATGGAGTTGAATACCATAATCAGGAGGAAGAATATACTTAAAGTAAGATGTAGTTATGCTGATAAGTCCTAGAGAGAGTTAATGATCTGATAATTGCATCCACAGAGCCGTATAGTTACAGCTCGAGTTGGGTGCTCCAAAGCTCGATCAACACACCTGATTATTATGTAAGCTAATATCTTAAACATATTTATCAGAATAATTTCCTTACTTTTAATACGAGAAATATTATTAAAATAAAGTGAATCTGAGAAATTCATCTATAGTTGAAATCATGAGTCAATTAAAGGTAGACCACTATAAAATCCTGGAAGCACTGAATGACGGTCTCGTCCTATCGTGGGACTCTTCAACAGTGCACATCCACGATCCCGCCTCGCAAGATTCGAACCCAGGACCTATCAGTCTCGAACGCAAGCGAGACCACTGAGTTGGTATCCAACGGTGTTAATGTCTAACTTCAACTATAAAATTAACAAAATTTCCAAAAAAAACCCTCATCTGATAAGTTCATCTATGTTTTGAGCAGAAGCTGACTAGTAAAAATTAAAAAAAAAAGAGAAAACATTGATTCTAACACTGAACTGAAGTTGACCTTTTATTCATTACATAATAGTTGGCAGTAATAATCTAAAAAAGAAAAAAAAAACAATGTGATTTATACATGTGGGTAAGGCATGTTTATCATTATTAGGTTACAGCATGCGTACACTGAACAATGTTCATTCATTTCATAATGGAGTAGTCTTTCAAATAAGATGAAAATTTCAATATGAAAATATGTTATAGTTTGGATTATTCTTCTTTTATACATGGAGTAGAATGAAAGAAAAACAAGATGTTGTGTACAATTGATTGATTTCATACTTGCAGAATAAGTTAGTAGTCATCCGAAATTTAAGTTGATACTTACTTACATCTGTTACCCCTCATGGAGGAGCATAGGCTGCACACCATCATTCTCCATCCAACTCTGTCCTGGGCAATCCTTTTCATATCTGCTCTAATTTAAGTTGATAGCATATTGATATTTGGAACGATAAGGAAATTTCGTTCTATGGCATGTAATCATTAAGTCCTAACGACCCGTATATTTATCGTTCCTTCTATTTATACAATCACTTTTCTCTAGTCTTATCGTTTTCGTATGCGAAAACAGTACATAACAGGCTGAGCTCAGCAAATATTATAATATACGTAACTTGCAAAACCAAAAGGCAACGTATCACTAGCCAAATCTCTAATATTTAACAGAGAGCTTTGAAAAAAGAAAATAAGCTGTCCTTAGATAGCTGAGAAGTAAGTTGTTATAAGTGCTAAGTCATAATTTGATTTCGCGATTACATGGGACTACTCAGCAGTTTTAACTCATGATACCCTCAAGAACCGAACCCACTACCTTCAAGTCTTGGATCAACATAGCTAATTGAATTTTTTCTCTGTAGCGATGTTTGTAAACCTATCACTAATATTTATTTCTGAGTTAACTCATCAAGGGTGCAGATTGGTGCATTTGGCTCTGAGTTACAATCTAAGTGTTAGGATGGCTAGTAATACTAATCCAGTTGTATAGATCGAAGAGTTTTGCAACTGTCATTTAGTGGTTGGAAATTAAACGCTTTAAACACTAATCTGCCACACCATTCTATAATTATAATAAAATTCAAGTAGATGACGATTTCCGCCTAAGGTATCTGAGCAACAGTATCACACCGCAAATCATACAATTCCAAAATTTAGAGTGTGAATAACTTGCTTCCAAGTCTACAAGTCTAGAATTGCAGATAAACTAAACTGATTACACCTGTACTATTGAATATAAAAAATGTGCAGTTAATTTTGCTTATCATGAGAAAAGTACTTATTTATTAATTTTAACACATAAATATTGGTACAAGCAAGCACCAGATACATATGCGCCGACAAATATCATTTGATTTGTGTGAGGGCTGTGGTACTGTCCAGGTGCCCATACTGAAGCAGGTGGTTTTCTTAAAGGGCCACACCCGGAGCCTTTGACCTAAAGGTCTGATCCACAAGGCAGTGGAGCATCATGAGGAGATGCAGTCTCATGGTAGCCAGTGACCAACAATTGGTTCATACGCCATTTGTTCCCTCAGGATCCTGGAGCCCATGTGCACCATTGGTTTAGAATCAGGGTTTTCCAACTCCCCTCGGTGGACTTATCCATCTCCACCGACCCGGTTAAAGCGCCGGACATTCGCTTTTCGTCCTCTCAATTTTGTAAACAACACCCCTGCCACGAAAAAACTGTGAGTAGGACTTCCCTGGCAGAAGCTATATACGCGTGGTCATATGAGAGCATTTCGAGAGGGAGAGTGGACTCTCCCAACTCTCGGCCGTACCAGCACATTTGGGGACATGAGAAAAGTACCAACAATTAATTACTACCCACCTTATTTGCTTAGAGCTACACACACTCCAACTTGTATTACATCACACAGTATTGGATACAAAAACAGACAAAGAAAACCAATACACACGGTATGCAATTTGTTGTGTATTATGAAATGGTAATAGATAAACAATAATTTTTTTTAAAAATACCACTTAATATATGTACGCAGAATACTAGAATAAGAACATTATCATCACCGAAGCAAAAAAATTTAACAAATATACATATAGTAACACAACAATAAACAAATACAGAACGATTAGATATATTCCAACGAATTAGTCTAAATCATCGTTCAAAACTGGTAAGGATTGTCCAACACAGAGTTAGATGAAGAATGCTGGTGGGTGGCCTATGCTCCTCGACGAAGGGTAACAGGTGTAAGTAAGTAAGCAATCATTCAAAACAAAGAATTCAAAGGATGAATAACAAAGAAAAATAAATGTTCTCATTATGTTAGTGTGACAAATGATCGAGACAAGTATGTGTGTATAGAACAACTATGACGTAATATGTAAGGAAAAGTGTATAAAAATTGAACAAAAATTTTATTCTTATAAATTACAAAAATACACACACACACATGACAAATGACACTGTACTACTACACACACACTGGTGAAACTGTTGATAGATGCATTTATAAATGAAGGATGACATTAGTGATCAATGATCAATGAAACCGGTTGAAGAAGTACAAAACAAAAGTGAAGTACACACAAATGTTTATCTACATAATGATCAAGTATTATAGTAATCATCAATTCTTAAAGAATAAACATATCTACTTGGTAACAGTATATTCACACTCACACACACACACACACAATACTCGGAGAAAAAGTAAATGACCATTGGGAAAATTCCAACTTCTCATGGAACATGACAAACTGACACACACACACACACGATACGATGATAGGTGTCGTGTGTGTGGGTGTTAGATGTTGCAAATTGACTGAATTCTGTACTTATTTTTTTGTGTGTAATTCATGAAGTTTTCTTTATTTATATTGAATAAAACTCACGATGGTGACGATGATGTAACCATGAATAAACATAAACACATACATAGAGTACCATTATGTTGTGTATGGCACATGATTAATGAAAGATTGTATGCAGATGAAATTCGTGATTCGACGGTGGAAAAAAAAGGAGAAAGATGTAAAAAATCTCTCACTTAGATAAACAATGGAAAAAGAACAACTCATATGAAATGATTGAATGTCTCATAAATATGTATGTCGAGAAATGAACAGGAAGAACTAAATTACAATATTCATTGTTATTTCCAAAAAAGTGATGAACAATACAAAGTTGGAATTAGAATCATAATGAATAAGTTTATGGAGAGAAGTATATCAGAGAATTGTACTTTTAGAACGTTTTAATGAGTTAAACATTGGGTTAAGTTGGTCAAGTGTTTATGCTGTTTGTACTGCACGATAATAAGCATTTGGATCACGCCCATTTACAGCACAACAAAGAGTCATTGCAAATATCAAACCAATCAGCTAGATGGAGATTTTGAAAAGAGAATTGAAAAGAAGAAAAAAACAAGCATGATGTGGATGTTAGTTATAATTAGTTAACCAAACAGTTATGACTAGGAAAATGATAAATTGGGCAATCTACTTTTGAAACATTATTACTCTTAATTTTTGTATTAGTTATTCGGATCTTCCCATTGATGTTAAGGATTGTAATTGATCAGTTTCTTATTGACATATGTGCGTCCTGTGCAGATTACCTCGATTCCACCTGAAGTTGCGATGGCGTTTGAAGCAGACAGTAATAGATTCGAGTCCCGGAGTGAACAGGTACACCCAGCTGACGAGTCCGAAGAAGGACAAAATGAGTGTCTAGATTTCACTGCTAGCCACCATCCATCTTGGTTTATTATTACTCTTAGGTTTTTTTATCTGTAATTATAAACAGTTGGGTTATAGGTTTCCTTTATTCGTATAATCCATAAACTATCTGCATAACTTAATTTTATAGGATTAAGCTAGATTTAATAAAGAATGTATTGAAAACTACATATGATCCTATTTCTAATATGATTATAATCCAACCTTTCACTTCCCATTGATAACTGATATCAACTTCATTAAATACTGTTTGCTAACAACAGTAGAGAGGTCGTTTAACGATTAAAGCGCTCATCATCAAGTCAACATAAGCGGCAAGTTCAGATACTCATTTCGTCCACTTCGGTTTGAGATGGCAATAAGCATTAATGATGACCAACACAATAAGTAATATAACGGAAAACTGTATACATGAACTTGTATTTAATCATCTAGTGTTGTCGAAAACGGATTATCTTGGATATTATAATTAACTATTCAGTATTACGTGATCGTTACAATTTTTATACAACATTACCTTATCATAGTCAATATGCTAAAATTAGTCGAGGAATTAATTAAAACTACTACAAACTTGATGAAAGTGTACAGCTTTCATTGAAAGAAACCCACAGAACTGAGACTGTTATTGAAAGGGATATGTCTTAAGTCAGGCATTTTAAAGCTCCATCTTTGGGAATGACTAGATGTAAAGGAAAGTCTATTTACCAATTTACTTGTTGTTATATTAACATTTAATAACCATACTGTCAACAAAAAACACTAGTTACATTTTCAGCAATCGATGCAAAATGCTTACTTGATTCGATTATTAATGAGTTTGTAGGTATCAATGGCAAATAATTATTTACTCTGACGAAGTGACTTACATCAAGTCACGAAACATTAGAAATACAATTTTCGACTCATTGGGATATTTTCATAGTTGAAATCATGAGTCAATTGAAGCTAGATAACTATGGAAAACCTGGAAGCACTGGACGGCCGTTTCGTCCTATTATGGGGAGCAGTGACCAGTGGAGTTCTACCAAGTCTGTTGTAGAGATACCAACTCACTGAAGACAATTGGTGAACGGTTGCTCAAACATCGTGGATTGGTTGAAGTTAGACATTAACACTATTGGATGCTGGCTCAGTGGTCTATCGGTTAAGGACTCTGGCGCGAGACTGGTAGGTTGTGGGTTCGAATCTCACGAGTGCGGGATCATGGATGCGCACTGCTGAGGAGTCCCATAATGGGACGAGACGGTCGTCCAGTGCTTCCAGGTTTTCCATAGTGATCTAGCTTCAATTGACTCATGATTTCAACTATGAAAATACTAAATTCTCCACAAAGCCCCTTCTGATCATTGGGATATGACAGAAAAATACCTTTATTATTATGAGGCTTATTACGCTAGTCATATACACAGATACATGTTTTTTTTACATGAAACTTACCTCAATGAGGGCTATTGTAATAACCGAAATACATATAATTAGGAAATTATGCATGATATTGTCAATTCTTTCTTTACAACCCTGGAGATTAAACAACAAAAAAAGGACAGATCATTTGGTTGTAAATAAAGTCTGAATCAATAATAATGATAATAAAATGTAACTTATTCGCTCAGTACAAGTTTAAGTATACTCAGCTTCCGGACACACAATGGTTTTATGTGAGGACCACAGATACGAATACTCAGTTGGTCAGTCAGCTACAACGTAGGACCAGGTACACATATGCATCGGTCCAAGTTGCCATACTTCGTTAGCACAACCAGTTGGTCAGACTCAAGTATCAGAAATGAAGTATTAATTCTTGTGGTATATCAATTGAAAGCTGACTACATTAATCGGCAAGTCACTTCAAATACAATCACAAACCAATTAAAAGGGAAAGATTAAAGTATGGTTAAAAATTCAAGGGTTTAATGGGGACTTGCCCATTCTTAGACACTATTAACTAACACGTCAACAAGCAGTCTGTCATTTTAATACACCTATTCAGACAGGCACATGATATCTGAGATGTATTTCATCTACAATAACTGAAAACTGATTAGAATGTGTTGCATTATCAATAGGTCAATCATTCGTCGCTATTATTTGGAAACTCAAGTTTTCATAAAACAAAAAACGGACAGTGGCAAGTGAAAATTTTGGTTGGATTTTCTAAAGTAAAACAAAGAAAACTTAAGAACAACCAAATGCTTGTTCAAAGTGAATGTATATATGAACATGCATTTTTTGCCACCAAATGCCCTGGTACGGCTGAGAGTGGGGAGAGTCCACTCTCCCTCTCGAAATGCTCTCATATGACCACGCGTATATAGCTTCTGCCAGGGAAGTCCTACTCACAGTTTTTTCGTGGCAGGGGTGTTGTTTACAAAATTGAGAGGACGAAAAGCGAATGTCCGGCGCTTTAACCGGGTCGGTGGAGATGGATAAGTCCACCGAGGGGAGTTGGAAAACCCTGATTCTAAACCAATGGTGCACATGGGCTCCAGGATCCTGAGGGAACAAATGGCGTATGAACCAATTGTTGGTCACTGGCTACCATGAGACTGCATCTCCTCATGATGCTCCACTGCCTTGTGGATCAGACCTTTAGGTCAAAGGCTCCGGGTGTGGCCCTTTAAGAAAACCACCTGCTTCAGTATGGGCACCTGGACAGTACCACAGCCCTCACACAAATCAAATGATATTTGTCGGCGCATATGTATCTGGTGGTTGCTTGTACCAATATTTATGTGATTAAATAAAATAAAACATATCCTGAGATTAGTCGCCTGTTTAACATATACACAGTTTAAGATGTGTATATGATGTATAATGTTAAGCCATTCTACATATCGACACATAGATACAAAATATGTGGATTTATAAAAATAAATGAAACATTCTGAAATTTATGGCGCTAGACAACTAATGCTTACTTACCGTTTGAAAACTGAGCAAAGCAAAATCCATAGTACATTCATCATTTAAACAACAAGAAGGGACTTTAGCAATACCATAGTCTGTAGGTCCATTGTAACCGCAACATTGAAACTAAACAGCAAAATTCAAACAGACATACATATTCTGATATTTTTTAACACACACAATTCGATATGTACAATTTTTTTTGAAAAAAACCGCACTCAAATGCTTAAGTGGATTGGTTAGTTACAAAGATAATAAACTATGTGAAATGTGCTTTCTCTTACTTCACATGATAAAATGGTAGTGTAGGAAACAAGCCAATGTGAATTAGGAAAACAACCCTTTAAGGTTTAGGCAAATTTTCAAAAATGACTTTTGCCTTATATGGTGTAACACAAGTAGCAGGAATACTTTTGTGTTTAAAGTTATAGCGAAAATTTTGTTGTCAGAGTGAAAATGAGTGTTAAATGTATAAAAACACTCAAACAGACCATATGGTTGGGATGTGAGTTTATCGAAAGCAGTGGTTAGGGAGTCTAACTTTCATTCATTGAATTCCAGATTAACCCCCCCTGTCTACTTCGATTTGAGCAGCCAGATAGTTTTATTGGCCCTCAGACTGAATATATCTCACATTCAAGTACCTATTGAATAATTTGATTAAATTTCAAAGCGACTGGTGGTTTTATCTTTGAATAATTCTCAATGGCTTAAATACATCCACTCTTTATCTTCCCTTACATCCTGAGTTCCGAAATCTCCTTATACACTTTTTTCGTCTGTCTATACCTGATTTTTATAGACCTAATGATACTGTTATTACTTCTACTATTCTAGGACTTGTATTGATAATTTTGTATTAATGCGACATGGTAACTTGAACCGATGCACATATATGCTGGGCTCTATATAGCACATGACTAACTGACTATTTCTTCTAGATAGATTGTGCATGACAAGCAAATCAAACCTATCCATAAACCCCTAATCATAACCCAAACGAGAAGCAATGTGGGAACTTCTAAAAAACAACTTGGATCTTTATAGAGGTTTGAGAAGTTGGATGTTTTATAGACACATGATGTTGTTTCATTTAATTTATGGATAGGAAGACCTGAAGACTTTAACAGGTTTACTGACTGCGTGAAGTCTTTATTTATATTGTTCTTTTCTATGAACCATTCATTTACAATGGGCTAAAATTCTTCGTAGTTGTTTTAATAATTGCTCAATCGCAACTTCCTATACTATACACTTACCTTTCAAATAGCAAAAATACTAGGTAAACTGCAGAACGTCAAACGAGCCTATATCGTCTCAGATTGACTTCGTTAAGTCGTCAATTAAGATCTAATTCCTATGCTTAGTTTATCACACTCATCTACTTTGAACTTACTTTGTTCGATGCTGATGATGTATTTAAATAAAATACAAAAAAGTACGACTTAATGGTACAATTCAAAACACTAAGACATCTATATTTCAGTGGTCAACACCTGAATAAATGAAACACGTCTTTGTGATTGATTTGTAGAAAGACCTAGTTTTTCGTTTAAGCTAATGTGTACGTAACATGTAAACGTGAAAAAGGGTCTAGACAGATTAAAAACATTGAACCACTTTCATTACCAAGAAACTTATGCTCCACTCGAGTTCCACACGTTTCAAAGATAGGGGGAAATACAATTTTTCTTGGAGCGAAACTTTCTCCTTTTTATTTTTTCGTCATGCATATATATATATATACTTTTAGTAATAATACTTCAGAGATTAATTTATCACATGAGACTAAATGACTGACTTAGCGTATAAAAATGACATGGTTCTGTTTGGTGAAAACGACATCAAATGTAGTTTTCTGAACACGTTGAGTAACAATCCAAAAACATTCGGGATGTAAAGTAGGTGAAGCAGCGTTACAACATACGACTACCAAGTCACACACGTAGTTGTGGTGATTACTAGGGAAATTATGAGTCGAAACACATTTTTACAAGTAAAAACAATACCATGGCAATTTATTCTTGAATGTTGTGGGAGTAAACAGAAATATGCAATATCTTACCATAACATGGATTGCATCCATCCATCGAACTTCATTGTTGGAATTTTTCCAATCTTCAACACCTTCTTTAAGTGTTTCGTGGATAATTGCACGTGCCTAGTAAAGTGATGAGTTAAAATGCACAAAGCAAAAATGCAGCATAAAGGAATAAATTTGAAATATTTTCTGTGTAATAACTATACCATACAATGTTGTGTTCAGTTGCATAAATTAATAACATGACTATAAACATATATAATCTATTAATCTGTGATTTCCTTAACTACTTCTTCCTAGACTTTTCAGAGATTTTGCAGTGTTGGAGAGTGTTGAATCCAAATAGTAAAGTACGTTGTGAATCTTTTGATGTAATTATGTTTGTCGACCGACAGCTGAAATCTTGGAAGCCATTCGAGTGTTATTTTATCAGATGCATAATCTGTACCCTATTCGCTTTATTATCCTTGTATATCTTCTAGAAAAACGAAACGCAGACGATACATTCACACAAAAAAAGCACAAAAACTCTATGATACCACATCTAACCCATATATTACACAATAAACAAGTTGTAAGGGCCGACTTAACCAAAAATGCAAACTCTTGAAACTGCTATTTACATTATTACTGTTTTTGCCAAAATTTCATGTAACTTTATTTACGTACAGACTCACTTAATACATTTAGTATTATCATTAAAGTACTTAATAGGATATTTCAGTAAAATATGGACGTCGTTCGAAGGACAAGTAGAAGCCGTAGAACAGTGAAGTGTTATTCAAATCTCATTTGGTACCTGTCAGTTAACTTAACAGATCACAATCGGAGTGAGATGAAGCCCTTTCTTATTTAACACACATCCTGGTACAAGGTGTCGAAAAAGTAAGCGACGCACAAATACTGTACAGAAATAAACGAGGGAATGACTGTATGTCGTAAACTGACTTTTTCATCTGAGTCCAAGCGTCGGCAAATAACGCAAGATGTGAAAGCCATTGGGATAGGATTCGTAACAAATGATCAAACCACCGAATTTGACGTTCCTAGAGGATGACATCAATGAGCCCGAACACAGCGTGGAACGTCCATATTACTAAGATGGTGCGGCTACTGAATGTTAGCGACTGGACTACATGTATACAATTGGTTTGAAACTAGTTTCTTAATTTTCCTAGATGCACATTCCGTATTTCCCTTCGCGTGTATCAGGGCATTTGGGGGCAGATCCGTTAAATTGTAAGATGACCATGTTATTATTAGCGTATCACTTTATTCCTTTGATCACTAATTCCTAACTTTATGACTATTGGTGAAAATACTCGACTATCCAAATCAAAGTAAGCAGGATGGCGCTTGAATCAGTGATGTATTTACTGAAAGTCAAGTGCTTCGATTATTGTTTTAAATAAAATAACACCTTGAATGCTAAAGTTATCAGACAGTCACTTAACAGATGGTTGTAAAACGTTCAAGATCAGACATAAAGTGTGCACCAGCAAAGTTAGTCTCAATAGTTTTTAACTAAAACTTGTTGCAAAAGAGAAAATGTATCATTACCCTAAAGCTCCGAATGCGGCTTAACAAGAGAAATAAGTAAGCCATTAATATCATTAGGTATACCACCACTACAATGCTGTGAACACACTCGCGCAAGATGCTGAGTAAAATCATCAGCACTGAAACTGAAATTTACACGAGGTTAAGATTACAGTTTGATAAATGAAAACCGAATAACTGAACCATTGTAGCTCTACATCCATATTATTGTTTAGAACTCTTTGTAAAATATATATAGTCAAATACAAATTTAAACTTACTTGTTCTCTATGAACGAACCCAGCTACGCCAATAGCAATTTCGATGGCAAAAATAACCAATAACAGAGCAAAATAAAAGCCCAATAAACATCGACTATAGTGATATGAACCACAACAACCTAATATTCCTAATACAAAACTCAGAGCCCCAATAGCAGCCAGAACGATATAGGTATAAGCCAATATATTGTGTTGATCAGTACCTCTAACTCCGAATGTTGAAAAGTAAAAGTACAGAGCAGCGGCTAAAACGATCATCCCTATGATCTGGAAGCAGAATAAAAATTCAGTACAATAATACAGACTCTACAGAAATATCAGAAAGTCTACTATGAAGTTAATTACATGAACTAATTTTACACAAAAGAATTACACATGTTTAAACTAAAAAAATTAACTATACTGTTTAACAATTTCTGCAAGTTTTCTACTCTCCAGATTTTTATGCTCCTGAAAATCTGAGCAGACTCTCCAGTTCAATAGGTTATTTATCTACCGAAGAAAGTTGGGAGAAAAATTAACTTGCGGAGTACAAATTTTCTGAGCGTAACATAATGTTAGGGTAATTTACTATCACCAACAGGCGGAACACGGGTCTTTCTCGTAGCTCATCCTTTCTAGTTTCTGACCAGAACAAGAAAACAAAATCACTAGGTATACACTTTAGTACTTTTGAAAGCATAAATTTGCCAGTAATCTCAACGTTGAGACCTGACTATTCACCATAAGTGCAGTTGTATATAGATGTGCTGCTATACAGTTAACCTTTACGGTATGAAAATTTGTAGCTAGTATACATGGATTTCTTTGGTTTATCCCTCATCCAAATCCATTTTCCCTACGGCTAAATAGTACTTGGGGATTATGGCTGACGTCAGTTCGTGATTTAGTCCCTTACGATAATCACAGTTCCTCAAATTTGATAACCCTTTTAGCCTTAGCAAGTTGGTACACATGTTCAAACCCAAATAACCATCTCTCAAAGTGACCCTAAGTTATGGTCTCACCAAAACATTCAGTTATATCAGTAGATGTAGATGTAAAACTTCTGGTGTACCACGCATCTTTACGAGTATGTGCACAGAGACTCTATTACGCAACCGCAAGTAAGTATTCTAAATAAGAATTCTCCAGAACCACGAGATTTATCCAGACAAGATAATTAACGCCGGCACCAAAACTTTTTATCACATGTGATGTCCCCGATGAGTTAAAAAAAAAGTGGAAAATGAGATCAGAATAGATTATAAGGGTTTAGAATGGCACAAAATATGATATATTTACAAACTGAAACCTAGTGGTCACAGAGGTCCTGATTTCATTAGATCGTTACTAGTTTTAAATGATTCTAAACAATATGAACAAACGTTTTATCATTTGTTATAATACCACACAAAAGCACTTACTGTAAACAGGATGTTGAACACAATCATTAGCACGCGAACGCATCCTGCACAAGACTTGCACATCTTAAGGGAAAATACTACACCACTCAACGATCTTCCAGAATTCAAAGCAGGTACGGACCCGGGTAAATATATTAACGATCCGGGCTCAATGTCTTATTGACAAAGAGCCAATTCAATATTCAATTTTCAGATTCGGATTAGTGTAGTAAGAAAAGAAGGCCTACGTCTTATAATATTTTTTCTCAAGTATGCTTCTGTGATTGTCTAGTCTTTTCTTGGATGAGTTAACTGTAGGTGCAGATACCAGTGCTTAGGGTAACAGGTTCCAATAATTGATGGCTCGGCGTGAAAACTTGTATGCCACTGGTACTTTATTCGTTATTTTTTTCTACTCGCCTGCTATGTCCTCCAAGATATCCTGATCTAGTGAGAAGAAAGAGAGAGGATATACTAGGTCCAAAGTCATTTCCCTATTGGTTGCTCATTCAGTAAATATATTGAAACCTTGTCCGTCTAAATGGAGGTTCAGCGACACAATCATGCATGCAATAATCAGTATAAGCAGTCAAGCAAATCTCCTGCAAATTGAAAACATCTCTGTAGAATTTACTCCAACACTGACTAACGTTCAAGCCATTATCATGGACATGAGTTGGGGGTGTACTCCTCTTGGTTGCAACTTATGTTCTCCTTGATAACCACATGAACATCACTCACTGTTTATCATCTTGTAAAGCATCGTGCAGTATCACAGCACCTACGTCTATGGCACATAGGCTTGAACTGTTTCAACAATTCTTAATCACTATATTTGTAACTAACTTATGCGAAACTCGGTACTTTCAACTAACTTGTGTATATCATCAGCCGGTAAGTGTGAATATAAATAACATTGAGTCTAGAGCATGTCTGTCACGAATATTCCTATGTTTAACGAATCGCTCTTAGCTATCTGTCCAAAATTCATATAGTTATCACTTTCCACGTATTGAAAATATTTTTGATAACCATTCATATGTAATAGTAGTACTACTACCAAATTCTATCACGGTTAAGTAATAATGAGGTTGAGAAAATCTCCCCGTAACTAAATAAACCGTATCTAACTTAACAAACTAATTAAAACACTAACTGGGATTCTTCTCCATGGTTATACTTTCGTTCTTTCAGTCGGCCTACTAATGCAGAGGCAACTGGAAATCAACTCGTACGGACAGTGTACCGGCATAAATGTCAACCGACTTTATAATTAAGACCAAAAATAATACCAATATCAAACTTTTTACAGTACTGATTGTTCTTCCATTTCTTGACACAAATTGCTTATGCTGCCTACAACTTGAGCCATCAACCAAATGTTATTACTATGCATGCTAATGTGACTTGTTAAAATATCTTTATACTAAATTGTTCTTCATTGTTGTAATCCCACCTTACTTGACGCGTAAATAATGTTCGTGTGGGTTTTCACGTTAAAAGTGTTAAGCACTTAACCAGATATTTTAAAGTTATTACATTTATTTCCCAATCAGATGCTGCCTCCTTTCTGATTTATCTTCCTGCTTATTAGTGCCTGGAGGATTCTCATTACTCTTGGTAACCCCTAGTACGCAACAATCTCACTCAACTTGGCATCAAACCAACGTCATGTTGATTCTGGTGGGAGAGCAATGTTGTGGTATTGTGTCTTAACTATATATTCCTCAAAGCTGAACACGAGGCAACTCGGTAAATAGATATTCAACATTTAACTCGAAGAAAACCATAATGACGGAGAAGGCGGAAAGAAGAATTCAATAATTCAATTCATCTGACGGAATGACAGCCTTCCAGATGTGGTCTATCTTGTGTAGCCCTTTTATCCATATTGAATATATATTGCTTTATCTTTGGCCTAAATATGTTCATCATATAATGATGATTATTACGATGCGATGAGTCGGTGTAGAAAATGATGTGACTTCCACGTAAGATCTTATATCTTAGGCAGTTTCATCATGATGAATCTACAACTTTAGGATAAAGTCTGTTATCAGAACAGTACTAATAACGAAGTAGCTAATGATCTTACAAACTCACTAGACAACCTAATAACTGAATTCTGCACTCTTTGAGATAAGCGAGTCTTTCACCAGAAGCCGAGGGAAGAATAACGGAGAACGGTAAGGGATCACAGGTAGTATACAAGAATTAAGAAATCGTAAATGAAAATGTCAAGTAATACCAAAAGTGTGTAGCTTCCGTTTATAGTGAGACAGGCGGGAAACTTTCCTCAATAACAATACAAAGTGAGAAGGCCAATACAGATTAAAGGAAAAGCCTACACTATTCTTACAGAAGAATTTCCAATTGAAAGCTTTATGGGTTTTCAACAGTGTTTAAGTGCTGTTTACGTCTCAGGCTAAAGTTAACAGTTTGACATTTAGAAGGGTCAAGTGTTCGACTATTTACAACAGACCATCGTTCAATAACAGACAAGAACTTATTTACTTCAAAGGGATGTGACGAGCCACAAATCGATATACATACAGTGAGATCGTCCGAGTACATAATGAAAGTGTTCAGATAAAATAGGTAAGAAGAGAGAGAAAGAGCAGCTCCTAGTGGTACACCCTCATAAGTTAGTAGAGACGTTGAACTTTTTCCTCCAAATACAGTGTACTGTTCACCTACAAAGATGTAGAAATGTCTCCTGCAGGTTATTCAGCTGGCGGTGTTCACTCTGATAAACGTTTTAGGTTGGAGTTGTCCTGGAACCACCAAAGGCAGAAGTATAATCCAGAAAAGCGCATCGAACATACTTCTGAACCTTTTACAGGCTGGAAGCTATCTTATGATACAGATAATCAGCAGTATCCAAGATGCTTTTTCAGCATTTGTGAGCAAAATGATACGGATCAATGTGCTCTTTCATTGCAGTCTAACGTGGGGGTACCAACAACTTTTCGAGAAGGGGTGAAGTTATTGCTATTGATCTTTCTTTGGTACTGGAATTGGGTTGGACGCTTGTACTTTGCACAGCCTGTAAGCATCGTTAGATCAGATCTATAATTTGGGTGCCATGAGAATAATTAGCGTAAAAATATATGTGGAAGTCCAATCTAAGGCCCTCTGATCCTAGCACAGATGTAGCTGGCTCACTAACTAGAAAAAAAGTGTTGACATGAAAACCTCCTATACGGACGTGAATATAAACTGAATAACTGGTGGTCGATGATATCAGTGATTTCCAAGCTCATAGGCTTTAGGTTTACCTTTATACTTCATTAGGAAGTAATTGATAAAATTTTGCTGGTTTAAAGAACAACTCTATAAAAATTGTTTGTGATAGTGTCATCTGGAAAAGTATGAGACACTAATACAGTTAGTAGTAATTGACAGTGAACTTATCACCCAGTTTATATCAGCCGATCCCTTCACAGGACAACTTATCGCCTTATTAACATCGGACTTGAAAAATTTACGAACGTCACATATATGTCAAACATGTCCATATTAGCAGCATGGTACATAACGAAACTAATAGTATCTGGGGAAATGCAAACTACAGCATGAAAAACGAGATTGGAAATGCAAAAAATATTGAGGTTGGTTTAAAACAGATTCACTAACAAAAAAATCATAAACTAATTTAAACGAGAAAATCCGGAGAATCGACAATGCTATATATATACAAACAAACGAAAAAAACACTCTAGATCGATGGAGTGAAGATAAAGACGATGAATGAGTGTGAGAATCGAGAATCCTGTGTGTTGGTTCAGTGTGCAAGATGTTGTTGTTGTGAGGTGGTGCGGTAGTGCTGTTTGAGGAGAGGAACGCGCGCCTCTATAGCTCAGTGGTAGAGCACTGGTCTCGTAAACCAGGGGTCGGGAGTTCGATCCTCCCTGGAGGCAGTAGGTTTTCACCCCTACCATCAACAACATCGACAATAATTAACACTCAACACACCACCGATGATCACCATACACCCGATACACAAGTGCCAGTCGGATCGACGGTCAGAGCGCTCCATCATCGTACACTCGCCATCAAATCACATTCTCCGACCACATATGTACTGAGTGTATTGGGACAGACAAACGGTTGGTCGCTTCAACAATCAATCTCGTGCTACCCGATGATTAACTCTCCATCACCAATGTGTAGTCATGTCGATGGAAGTAAAGTGACACGCCATACAGTTGGAGCACTCACTGTCTCCGACTCCAGTTCCGACTGCGACTGTGACCAGTGTGACTGTGATACTGCTTACACCGACTTGCATGTCGGTGGTCAGTCGGTTGCGATTGATTGTCGTTCAAAGAAACTCGAGGTAGTCTGGATGTGGCCAGCTTCTGACAGTTTGTGAGCAATGACTGTCGTTGTGTCGATCGATCACTGATGGATGACAACGATATACAATGAATGACAGTGGGTTGTACTCCACAGATGAGATCCGATGCGAACCACTTCCCTGACCAGAAGTCGGGAACATGTCTCCCATACGACGGACACAAATACTCATCACCACACTGTCGAAAGCTCGTTCCACCGAAACACACAACTATACATTTACACTCCACAACATTGCCGACTCACACACATTCACACGCAAACACGTATGCAGAATCGAGTGCGACTTCACTTGCACATGTGGTGTGTGCGTGTTGATGATGAGTGTTTACACTGGAGGATCGGTACACGGTAGGACATACTGGTTGATTCGTTAGACTGCTAACAGGCGACTCATCAGTCCGTTCAGACGGATAACCAGTCAGTCAATCAACCAGACATCCACGTCACTCAACAAATGCAGACACATCTCTATGTGGCGATCGACGTGCTGCTAGCTGAGTATGCCGTGCATTAAACAATCAACTGTCGAGTTCGTGAGCATTCACACATGGCTAGACGCTTCCAGTTCGGATAACAAACGATGTGTTCGAGATAGTGAGATGTGATACAATGCAGTGTGATGAGTCGATTGCAACTGTCGCCAACCTGAGGTTGTTCATCGACCTCTCGATTCAATCTCTCAGCAATCCACAGGTAAATAGATGCGATCATTCTGGCTGATTTGGGCCACACGATAGGCTGCTTTCACAAATCACTCGTCGCTCA